ATGATCTGGTTGAATTGTCTTTTTATGAATTTGCGCTATATATATAAACTGAATTTAACTGAATTGAGTATGTGTGTCCTTTCGGTTGCTTTCATATCCAGAGGTCGTAACAGCAAGTAATTACAGCCTGTTCACAGGCTTGGAAGGGTTTTTGTGCCAAATGACACCAGGAATCAAATTCAGGTCACTGGCATTGCAGCGAAATGCTTAAACCTTTTCACCACGGGTGAAAATACAGATGTTAGTTCATTAAAATGAAATACCACTTACTGAATATAAAGAATATTGCTATACAAATAATAAATTTACCATTTAATGAAAATCTAAATTGGCTGGCAGTATGGATCTGCCAAGTTTTTTGCCTCCCGCCTTAAAAAAAAAAAAAGAAAAGCAGTACGATTCTATGCAACTCTGATTGGCTGAGGTACCAGGTGATCATCATTCAACCAATCAGTGACACCCTTGCTGACAAGCATGGCTCCATTGATGCACCAAGGCTCAATCCAAATATCTAAATCTAATTGTGCCAGCCCAAGTTATTGTGGCTGTCAACAGTTTTGTGTTAATCCAATAATTATTGTTCCTCGTTCATAGTTGCCCATACAATGTGGCCCCACCATCACATTTTGGGTATCATTAATTTGCTCTTAAGCAGTGGTAAGGCAGTAATGAAAGATTATAAGAATACTTAATGCAGAAAGAATACACACTGCAGAGCATTTAAATAATAAAAGAAATTGAGGTGGAGAACCCAAACTCCCTCAGGAATGACAGGCCACATTATGTAGATGAGGATGTGTGCATACTGTACTGTCATATTTTCATATATGCATGTTTTCTGTATATTTGATGTGAAGAAGTCTACTCAAGCAATGTGGATTGTAATAGTTTCATATATTTTTGTGCATATTTTCTGGACCATATGAAGTGATCAAGACCTAAATTCAAATACAATGGGATGGCAAACCAATGAACAGGCCTCTCATGCTCTTAACCCCTAGAATGACCAATTTTTGACAGGTTTAGGAGGAAATCCCTTTTTATGTTGGGCCAGGTTGGGTGTTAGCTTATTTTTTACCTTTAAATATATAATTGTTTGAACTCTTTTATTTACTCTAAGTATATTTGTTTGAAATCAAAATAGGCATACCACAAAAACAAAAAACAAAACAAAACAGTGGCAGGAATGGCCAATTCATTTTCAAAGCAATGGATTATTGTGTGCAGAATGTGTCAAACTTTACTCACAAAAACACCATAAAGCTGACATTAAAATATAGATGAATACAACCACTTGTTTTTGTTTTTCAGTTTACGTTATCAGAAGAATCACAAATAAATATCTGTGCCATTTCGGAAAAGCAATTAGTTCATAATATGTTAACTCAATGTGGAGGACATACTGTAGATCTTTAGCTCTACTAAAGAATCTCACACCCCTACAACCCACTTTAACTAAACAGTTTTATTTTAATGTATAAAGAACAAGCACTCAAATCTATAGTAGCTCCTTGGAGGCTTTAAAGATTCTGAGTTGGGCGCAGGAGGATTAGGATCCCCTCAGTCTTCTGTGTCCATACAGTAACTGTAAAACGCCCCTTAACAAGAGAAACTAACACAGCATCACTTCTCCTGGTTGCTCCTCTGAAGGATTCCCCTCGAATAATACAGCAAGTCAATTTGACTAACATAAAAGGTAGCACTAACAAGTGCGAGCTGCTGATAAGAAAAGCCTGCAGAGACTAGGATGGAGGAACGAAAAGTGGAAAAGTGGAACCCAGTCAACTATAAAATGCCAAATCGTTACACAAGAGAGATGGCAGGACTCCATATTAGCAGCCATGAAAAAAGATCATCACCAGGGAGTTGCATTCTCTAATACCATAATTGCATCATGAGAAGCAACATAGAATATCCACCACTTCCTGATTAGCTTGTAGGGTTCTAATACACGCATCCCTGTTAAATAAATTAGGTTTTTACTTTTCTTATCTTATTTACAGTTGTCTGATATTTTTTTCTACATTACAAGCTATATGACTGTTATCAAGAGACTTTAGAACATCCTGTCTCTGCTACCTCATTCAACAAGCAGGGAATAACTGCTTTTATTAGATTTTAGAAGAAATTTTTGATCCCAGTAGCAACCTAGAAAAGAAATTAGTCTGGGCTTTATTGGCTCAGACACAAAGGCGAGCAGATTAAAAAGAAGTGAGATGATTGAACTTCTCTTTATGCCGTGGTGTGTCCTTTGTGCCAGGCTGCACTGTCACTTTGATGCTATCTGTGTCATTTGAGCCTTATTCGGTGCCTTGGGTGCCTCACACAAAGGATTATGATGCACCAGCAGAGGCCTTGAATGGGCTTGAGTAGAATTCTCCTTTTGACTCACTTCAAGTGTCACTCATTATCAAAGTACATCAATGCAGGGAAAGACTCAGTAATGAACTGTATGTCATATCAAGATAGAATAAGCTGGCCAATTGAATTTTAATACATTAAAACTAATTGATATCTGAGAAATTAGCCTGCACTGAGACGGTTATTCAATTTCTGTAAAAAAAAAAAAAAAAAAAAAAAATTTGTTGAAAAAAAAAAAAAAAAAAAAAAAGCATATGTGGCTGCTATTTCTGCATTATTTCGGAATCAAATTTATTCAACTCAGTTTTTAGATTGGGAATGAACCAAAATCCAACACCTTAAACAGCTAGAAAAGCACAAACTCTAAAACAGAGGTCACGGATTAGTGGACCACGGTCCGAATCCGGACCCACCTGCAGGCTAATCCGGACCCAACCTGATTTGAAACATTTACAAATTACTGAATGTTGTCCGACAACAATGTCTAACCTCACTTGCACCACTTCTCCTATTAATATGATAAAGCCCTCTGGAGCGTCTGGGACCAGACTGCAGGTGATATTTAGGTATATTTAGGTGAAATTACCCAGTGAACTGTGTCAGTCCGGGGGCCACTGCTGTGAGCTACCTTTAGACACAGCAGGCAAACCTGTGGCAAGCTGGTCAATGGGAAAGAAGGAGAAGACGATAAGAGAAAGAAAGCAGAGAAAGTGTGGACTGCTGGAAGAACGGCTGTGAACTGATGACAGAAAAGTTTAATGGCGTGCTGAAAGATGACCCTGCACATTTAGAGGATGTTTGGCTCAACCTGCTGCTGTGAAGCAGGATTCCCTGCCATGACCATAATCAAAATAAATATTGATCCAAGCTCACAATTGAGCACCTTGATATGTGCTTGAGAATAGCTTTGTCGCCAATCGAACCATATTTAAAAAACTTTCAGGGCAGCGTAAAGCCCACCTCTCTCATTAAGCCATAACAAAAAAAGGTTGGTTTAGGTGTTTTATAAAATATGTGAATCATAAAATTGTCTATATACCAAACAGAATGATTGTTGTTCTCTACTTCAAAAACAATTTAGATTCTAAAATGGAAAATTTTTCTATTTTTTTTATATCTTTTTATTTAAAAATTCAATGTACAATGGATGCATAAAAACCTAATTTTATTTCTGTGTTAAACTCTGTTTAAAGTAACAGATTATAATTAAAAATGTCTCCGGACATTTACTGGTTGATGATTTTCTTTATTCAGATCCAGATGATTTTTAATTGGTTACCCCTGATCTAAAGGAATAGAGTGATAATGGTCAGAGTAGTTGAACCCTGCTCACAAGACAGCATGAAAAAGATGGAGGAGGTGAAAATGGAGGAGGATGAACAGCATCTTGCAAGGCTCCCATGATTGGAGTAATTTGCACACCAGGGAGCAAAAGAGAAACCTTTGAGTGGGTGGTTAGGAAAGTTGATGTCTGATCACTACCTCTATTAGTAAAGAAAAAACGTACAAGATGTACAAGGACTGCTTGTAGAGAGCAAGCAGGCCAAGGAAATGTAATATTCTCCTTCTAGCCTGGAAAATTTTAACGACTCTTCAGCCCAGGCGAACCATAATTTGCAGGACAAAAATATTTTTATCAAAGGAAAATTTGACAACTTTTAGGTAAAAAAAAATAGAGATGAACGATTAGATTGCGAATAATGTAGCAGGGAGAATTTTTATTCATCAATCTTAAAGGAACAGTTAAAAGTATTTCGTCAGTAGGCTAATAAGTGTATAGTCTACTAAACGATTAAAAGACTGAAATGACAAAATGAATTTTACTGTTGGGAACTAATCTTAAATGAAAAAATTAAAACAAGTCAGTCTTTTTTCTGTAAAACACGGGAGCACCATCTGTTACTCTTTTGACAATACTGCTGTTTTGGAACAAACTATGGGGCAAGCTATAAGAGCTAGCATTTCTACAGATAAAATAAAATAAAATAAATATATAATGAAATAAGAAAAGTTTCCTCTAAATCCCTTAGAATGAACAGTGAATAAGATGGCCATGCCTGGCTGTGCTCTGAGTATTAGGAACATAAAAGCAGACTGTAGTTCTGATGGATTCTCCTGTCTAAAAGAGGACCTCTACTTCCACAGTGTTTCTCCTGCTGATTGATTTGTATAACTGCTGTAGGACAGAGTAAAGTGGAAAGCAAAGAAGCTCCATCTCTGCTGGGTGGGGTCTTTTGACTCCCTGACTGTTAAGCTTAATGAAGCCTGGTTGAAGAGAAATAGTCAATAACAGCGACTATATACCGAAGAGATCCATCTTCAAAATTAGAACAAATTATTCACTCCACTTCTTTGGTAAGTTTCAAGAGGTTTAAATGCTGGATAATGAAATGCATGCAGTATAAACCAAAACAACAGACAATAAAAAACAAACATCACTAAATTCTTAAAGATTAAAATATACTAATATCTCAGTACACTAAAAAAAAAAGTGTTTATGTAGATCTTAAATAAATGATTTTGTACATTAGTTTTATTAACATACATCCTAGCTGTGTAGAAAACTGTAGACATAAATAGCAACATATCAATAATTCAAAACTACCAAAAACTAGAATATAACAATATGGTGCTCTTACTGATGTGTAGAGATGGCCCTCCCCGTTCATTGCGATGTATAACCCTGTCTTCACTGATTGAATGGCGACGACTCGGAGGCCCACAGGAATAAGATTAAACAATGCTGCAAAACAGACAAATAGAAACATATGAATAAAAGTACTTTTATATTTTTTATTTCAGTTGTGTAAATCTGATTTATAAAGCTGAATATAGGCTGCAGAGTATTAGCACTTAAGCATAACCTTAGGAGTAGTTGTATCTGGAACTTCCACTGCTGCAGAGCATTAAAGTATTGTATACAAAGTATACGGTAATACATTTTTAGCTATTTGCCTTTTTTCCTATTTTTAAAATTGATTAAAATTGTATTAGCTTCTATTTAGTTCTTATTTAGTTTAGTATTCAAATCGTTTTTTTTTTGTTTTTTATTGACATCTAATGCCATGTCAAGATAAAAAGGGAATTATCTAAATTCACATGTAGAAAATGTATCTATACTATTGTGGTCAAAGCACTATCATCTAGTCGTGTATTTTGGTTAATTTAGTTGAATAAAGCCTGTTTTGATACATTCTGTATGTGTTAACTCAAAAGTAGAGGCTTCATATATATTATTCTTTTTCTTGCACAAAAAATATACATATTTAGCACAAAATATAGAGAATATGGTGAGTCTGAAAAATATTAAAAGTATTGCACTAAATTACTTATGACAAGAGGTGAGAGTTGGATAAAAGTTTGCATCTCTAATATGACATTACTGCTCAAAATCAAAGAGAAAAGGTTAAAGTTATGTCTAAGAATAAAAACAAACTACACTGAAAAAAATATTGTAATCATTTTTGGAATTTACTTAATCATATTTCGTTACTTTAACACAATTGTTTGTAACTGAGTATGATTAAGTAAATGCCAAAAACAGTTGTATTATTTTTTTCAGTGTAAGATGATTAAAAAGACCAATTTTCACCTTACATGCATCACATGCTGCTTTTCTACATAACTGCACTTATACTTATACTATACTTAACATTTACAGGTGCTGCTGAAATTAAAATCAATAAACGTGAATATACAGTGGGGTAAAAAGTCTTTAGTCAGTCATTGATTGTCTTCCTACTGAGAAAGGATTCATTCCTTTCTTTGTTTATGTTCTGTTTTAAATAACTACTCATTCAATATGTCTGTTCACTTTCTGTGTAAGTCAGGTAGAATGACTTCCAATGTTGAGGCTACGATGACCTATGATAAACTTTCAGGTTCTGTTTTTACCTTATTTTGAAATTCTCTGTTCTGGGGTGAAGATTTTGAGAGCAGCTATGCTGCAGTGGGAGGCACATCCTGAGAGAGTGTGTAGCTTGGGATAAGTAGTCTAGAAACATTAGATCAGGTCCAATTTGGCTGTTCCCACAGCTATTGTCAAAAGGCAAGCAGACAAGAAGGTAGGCTATGGCAAAGAAAGTGGAGACTTCCTCTGTAATTTGTTCTTATATCAGTGATTTTGTTAAAACATGACTTGAACAAATTCTGTTAATGCTTAAAGATTTTTTCTTTGTCTCTCTACACTATCTGAGAAACATACCTCTTTGGTTTAGAACTGTGTGATCAAACAGATGATCAAACAGGTCTCTAATATTCATCATAGGTACATTTCAGCTATGATATACATAATGAGAAAAATAAAATCCAGAAAATCATATTGCAACATTTTGAAAAGATTTATGTGTAATCATTTAATGTTGGGAAATAAGTATTTGTTCACCTTAAAATAAGCAAGAGGTCTACCCCTCACAGACCTGTAACTGCTGTTCTTTCCTGCACTTGTTACCTGTATTATCTGCAGTTGTTTGAACTCATTTTCTGAATAAAAGACACCTGTCCACAGCTTCAAACAGTCAGACTTCAAACTCAAACATGACCAAGACCAAAGACCTGTTAAAGGACACCATGAAGAAAATTTTAGACCTGCACCAGGCTGGGAAGAGTGAATCTACAATAGGAAAGCAGGTTGGCATCAATGAACCAATTGTGGGAGCAACTGCAAGAAAATGGAAGACATACAAGAATGTATAATCTATACGGAGGGACCTACTTAATGAGCTGCAGGAGGCGGGACAAAAGTAACAGCGGCTATCATCACACTACATCAAGAGGGACTCAAATCCTGCAGGTGTGCCCCCCTGCATAAGCCAGTATGCTTAAGCAGGAAAACTTGATCTGAAGTTTGCCAGAGAGCATTTGCGTGATCCAGAAGAGGACTGGGAGAATATAATTTGTTAAAATTAAACCAAATCAAAACTGCTGGGCACAAACTCAACTCGTTGTGTTTGGAGGAAAAAGAGTGCTGAGTTGCATCCCATGAACACCACTCCTACTGTGAAGCGTGGAGGTGAAAACATTTTGCTTTGGGGCTGTTTAACTGCAAAGGGGACAGGATGACTGATCCATTTAGGAGATGTTTGAACAGGGCCAGTATTGTGAGATTAAAAGTCAAAATCTCCTTACATCAGTGAGAGCATTGAAGATGGAATATGGCTAGGTCTTCCAGTATTACATGGATCAAAAACTCATCACTCAGGCATTGAAAGAGTGCCTCCATAAGAAGCATTTCAAGGCTTGGGGTAGCGTTCCAGTTCTCCAGATCTCAACCCCATAGAAAATTTGTGGAGGGAAAAGAAAGTCTGTGTTGCACAGCCATAAAACATTATTGACATTTAGAGGATATCGACATGGTTGCATGGACCAACATACCAGCTTCAGTGTCTGGAAACCTAGCAAATGTTGTCTATTACTGCCAACAAACGTATGCTGCAAAATATTGAGCTTAACTCCTGTTATTGACCAAATACTTTCTTCCACATCAATTTGCTAATGTTTTTTTTGTTTTGTTTTTGTTTTTTTTTAGAAAGTTCTACAATGTGAAACATTATTGAAAAATATTTTGACGTGGTCAAGCTACCCTGAAATGAATGTTTATCTAACTAATTCATATATATCTTAACAAAAGCTTGTAACAGAATAAAGGTTTGGCCCTGGGACTCACATCCTCCAAATCCAACCAGGTCTACAGTATTTTGTTGTTAAATGGCAGTCATATCACCATTCTTTTTACTTTATTTTGCTCCATAGTGTCCTTCATCACCATATTATAATTGGCAAAATGTTTGAATATTTCGTTTTTGTAAAATCAGAGACCTTTAAATAAAGAGTAATGTAAATAGATGATTTAAATTTCTTCGAAGATCTATTTCCACACCATATTTGTAATAACATTAGCTTATATGCCATGAATCCTATCTATAGCTTGCTTTATCTGATCAAATGTGACATGTGCCAAACCTCCTCTTGCTGACAGCAGTAAGTGACACAATGCTGACTGTCAAGCCAGTGTTAGCACCAAGTCCAAGAATCAAATTAACCACCTTCCCTGAAGCAGCAGAAGAGCACTGCTGGAACAAGGCAATAATACCATTTTACTCTCTGTTATTCCTGCTTCTTTTCGATCAACTTTCTTCCACAGAGTTAAGGATGAACTGGTGTGATTCCTACAGTATGGAACTAGTTAAAGGAGACACTTTATCACCAAAGTCTTCAAATTAAGGGGAACTATATTGAGCAAAGGGTTGGAGAAGTCCAAAAAGCAAAACGCCAAAAAGATACATTTAAAAGAGTAGGAGTGCTGAACATTCATATTATTACATTGTGACAAAAGAGGGTTGAAATGATACAAGTTTAAAACAGTCTAGTTATGGTTACAGTCTTTCTTTTTTTTTCAACAGTTTCTCTATTACTGAGAACATACATTTTTATTCTCAGAGACTAAAAGATAGCACCACCGTACTCACTGGAATTACTGCTGTCATCCTTGGTCCCATCAAGAGAGCCATCTGGGTTCATTTGCAAGTAGAATCCCTGCCTGCAATATAACCTGGTCACTATACCCTTGAGCTGGGGATCTGTACGGGAAAAAGAAGAGAAAGAAAACAGTCAAGCTTCCTGTAGAAATGAAACAAGTATTTCCTGTAGAGAATAATTATGTCCCCTGGAGGATAAAGACCTGTTATGCAGTGAAATAATATCCAAACAATGTTATTGGGAGCTCTGGAGGAGCTGCATAGATTCTGATTCTCATTGGGACTACTTAGAACTATGCACTCACAAAAATCAGACTTGTAAGAAATAATAGAAAGAATGCTGAAACTAATCTCAAATAAATTAAGTTTGCCACAAGCTAGACAGGCAACAAATTTGTGGAAATGGCACCTGAGCCTATAGCCATGTCCAATTTGGTAACTTGGTAAAACTGCAGAACTTCAAACAGCCCATCCCTATGGTAAAATAGGTTAAAGGCAGCATCAGGATGCTTTTTCTTCACAGTGACAATGAGGTTGCATAAATGTTGATGAGAAATCTGATGAGAATCTGCCAGGGGATTGTATCAGCTCCAAGCAGATCACAAACACAAACAATGCAGCAAAACCTGCATGGAGTAGTTTACCATCATAGCATATTCTTGTATAACAATGTTTGAGTTAAGGTATAGGTGTAAATTCATTAGAAAATCTAGCAAAAAAATTTACTTATTTACTTATTTTTAGGTCTGTGGGATTTTGCAAAGTAGAATGCAGCAAAAGGTCCTTCTGCAAGGCATGGAATCAGGACAAGGCTGAATACAAATCTAGGTGACATTTTTAGATTATTTGTAAAAAATAAAAAAAAGCTCCAAAATACCATAAAACATGATGTTGTTCCATTCCCCTCCCTCCTCTTTTTCTGTCTGCTGGCAAATCCCTAAACTACCTTTATGGGCTCATAAGCCCCATCCTGCTCAGAGCTAGACCATCCAATTTTAGACATCAGAATTAATTTGTGGCTTTCTGACTCCCTTAATGAACCCAACATAACCCTCTCTGGGATGCAAGAGTCTGCTTACCATCCCTAATCCAACTGGGGAATTACCCATATATTTTCAGTAAATAAATATCTTCTCAGAGCTAGTGCATCTTTGATGTGTCACATTATTTGTTGATGGTTAAAATAAGTAATGCAAATAATTAAGGAACAATAATATGAGGCTTTTTTTTATAAAGCTGAGTGAGGCTGTCGTTAACTTTTAATGCATTTTCTGTGAAATGAAACCAAGAAACAGATAAATAGGTAGTGTTTACCTGATATGTTCAACATCATCCAACCCATTAAACCATTTCCCCCCACAAGCACCTGTGTATACTGTACATCATGTATCTGTATAAGTGTGAGACAGAGAGATCTCAAGGGGTCTAACTGAGTTATGGCTTTTGTCTGGCTGTGCAGATCAGGGCATCCTCTACTCAACTAGCAAAATTGGTGACATATATCAAACCTTTAAAAAAAAAAAATATGTATCCTGCTGTGCCACCCTGTTATGTTACAGATATCTGTGGCTGTGCTGCTGCTCCTAAACAATAAACAGACATCCAAAAGAAGAAATGATGCAGTTGTGCTCTGCAAAAACATTTAGAGATGAAAATCAGACCAGTGTTTGTATTTAGTCTTCTTTCCTCTTTAACTGCTTCTGATCCACCTTAATTAATGTAGTGGAGTCAAATGCCTTCAGAAGTCACATAACCTGATGAATAAAATCCCAATTCAGAGTAAAAAATAGAGGAATAACAAAATAAGTACAGTGAAAGCACTTCATACAGTAAAATAAGAGGAAAGATAGGCAACAGGTTAGCAATTGTTATCAGAAATGCCATATAAAACATCTACAAATGTAGTCGCAGTGCTTTAGTTAAGGGGAAACCTTTTGTTGAAAAGAAATTGTGAAACTGTGGAAGACAAGAAATACAGTAATTGAAAGTCCCATTCCTAGAGGAAAGTTGTGACAGAAGGTTTTTTAATCAGACGAGGACAACTTTTGTTGCCAACATGTAAAAATGATCAAATTGGTCTTCTTTACGCTGACCATATCATTACCATCAGGTAATCATATGGTAATGCTATTTTCAGCAGTTAGGGGTTCCTTCTGTTACTGGTGGGTTGCCAGTTTGGGTCCCTGATCTCTCTGTCTCCATTATTTTGTCCTTGGGCAAGAAACCTCATCCACCTGGCCCGTTGCTTAAGATCAAACTGGCCTGGTGGCGCAGGCAGGGTAGCAGCCTATATGCAGCTGACTCACAGAAGCTACAATGAAGCCTAGTGTAGAACCATCAGCGTGCAAATGTGTGTGAACAGGCAAATAAGAAGTCATCTGATTTGATAAAGCTGATAAGACTTTATAAAGCACTAGGAAAGCTGGTCAGACTTGATTAAAAGATGAATGGGACTAAATACAGAGCAATCATGAAGCAGGGGTTGATCTAGAGGTGGGGGGCAAGCATTGGCCACCACTGTGGACCCCTATCAGGTGATTTGTTGTTCACAATGGGATGTAATTCATCTCCTCTGAAACAAGAGGCTCTCTTCTTGTTTCTCTAAACCAGAGGGTGGCAGCAGGGACACCATCATGTGGAATATCCTACTTTGACATTTTAATGTCAGTATGTCAAACAAAACATGACAACAAAAATACAGCTATTAATTATTCACAACAATATACAACAATTAAAGAGCACTCAGAATATAGTTTCTCTGCTGTTATGTTGGAGTAGCCTACATAATTAGAGATAAATAACAACCGCTTAAACCATTTAATGTATACATTTTGTAGAATCATATGTTAATATGAGGGCGACAGTGGCGTTGGATGTAGAGTTTGCCCTGAAATCAAAGGATTGACGGTTCAAGCCCCGACTCCGACTTTCAGTGTCGTTGTGTCCTTGGGCAAGACACTTCACCTGCATTGTCTACTGATGGTGGTCAGAGGCCCCGGTGGCGCCAGTGTACGGCAGCCCCGCTTCTGTCAGTGAGCCCCAGGGCAGCTGTGGCTACACTGTAGCTTGCCACCATCAGTGTTTGAGTGTGTGAATGGGTGAATGAATGTAGTGTAAAGCGCTTTGGTCAAGTCTCCTGACTTGAATAAAGGCGCTATATAAGTACATGCCATTTACCATTTAATATAACATGTATGTAGCTTTATTAGCAAGGGCCTTGTGAAAATATGGTCTGTCTTCAGTGATTTATTATACTCAATGTACATTTCCAGGAAGAGCCACTTTAATTATAGAAAAATATAGAAATGTAAAAAAACAAAAAAACAACAACATGGTGAAGGAGTTGGATGTACAGCTTCAAGAAGCACAGTGAAGAGATTTAGGTGAAAGCATGAATTCCATTGAGAATTTGAATTGAGAACACTTTAAAGCTGCTGTTTACAGGCTCCAGCTACTAAGACAAGTATTTATATATTTTGACAAGAGAACTGACCAAAAGCCGGTAGAGACAGACTCCAAAAAATGTTTACAGATAGTATAAAGTGTTGAATAATAGCAGATGAATACAGATTCACATCAAGCTTTTGATTTTTAAGTTAAGATTTTAGGAAATCATGCATATTTTTGTTCTTTTCAGAATGAATTGGTACTTTATTTTTGTGTTGGTACTCCATATCACATAAAACCAAAGGAAAATATATTGAAGTTTCTGGTTTTAACACATCAATAAGTAAAAACATGGGGGAGTTGAGGGTAAATGTAAATGTATTCAGTGGTATCATAGGGTGTAAATTGACCAATCAGGCGTATGATGTCTAGTGCTTTCTGGAATTATGTATATAATATAATTATATTTTCTCATATATTCTCATTCCATGGGTGGAGATGGAAAATATCAGCAAAGCCAGCAACCCCTAAACAAATCCACAGAGCACTTTCCTAGAAAGACCATGTTAATGCAAACTTTAGTTTTGGTCTGCATTTCTTTTAAACAGAAGCCTCAATTCTGCAAGACCCAAGAACATTCCAGTGCTACACGGACATTTTCACATGGATTTTTAATGAGAGTACAATTCTCTCAAGCAGATCCCTTTGTGTTGATACACAAAGTTGGCAAATGTGAGATCGATCAGGGACTTTGACTGGCTTTTAAGCAATGTGTGTGTGTGTGTGTGTGTGTGTGAGGGGGAGGGAGATTGATTCTCGAGAGCAATCTGTAATAATTAAAACTGCCTCCATGGCGGCTGGGTAGGAAGTCTTTGTGTTTGTGTGTGTGAGCATGCATGTGTGAGTTCTGTGGTGAGACAAGTTTCTTCATAGCGCTATAAATCATATGATGCTGGCTCTGTTTCCTGAGGCGGGATAGCCGGTATATCTCCCACACACAGATTCCCCCTTTAGGTTCGATCTCCGAAGTTTCACAAGCTGATTAAGATGAACATCAGGAGAAATCTTTGTAATGCAAAAAAACTGAAAATCTCTCTCTATATGTAAAAATATGTTCCAGTGACAGTTAGTATTAGTAAAAATTTTAATTTTTGGAGCAGGGACCCACCTCAGCCACACCTGTTACATTTAGTTTATTTTAACTTTAGCTATGGTGATTGTGTTTCAGTGCCACGCCTCGCTCGCACAAAACCAGTAATCTATTCACCACCTCTTCCTTTACCACTATTATCTTCTCCCTTTATTCATCATTCACCATCCCTAACTCCTCCATTCTTCACACCTATCGTTTTCACCCCTCATCCCTTCAAAGGAAATTTATCATTTCTTATTCATTCCTAAATTGTCTATCATCTTTCCCTTCAATCTCCATCATTTCGGATCCTTATACCATCCTCCTTTGCTGTCCTCCTTTTCCTTAACATCTCTATTGAAGAAGCCAATTTCAAACTTCACATTTTTTTCAAGAACAATGGAAATCTTTTAACATGTTGAGATTTTATTGGTTTTATAAAAACTTACATCTAGCTTTTAGCTGTGCCACAGCATGGAAATGGCACTTTTAGGAATTCTTATAGATCTTGTGTTAACTATTGATTCTGGCAGGTCCATTGATTTAGTGCCATTAGATTTGATAGTGTTGATAATTTAACCTT